ACTTTGAGACAACTCGGGCTCATGACAACCACATCTGTGCTAGAGTAGAAGTGTATTCCACTGGGTTTTCAATGAGTGATTTTTCAAAAGTCAATCATCATTTTCTTCCAAGACCCATCTTTGATGCCATCAACCTCCAGCCTTGCAGTGAACAACAGAAATATATTAACTGTTTGTACCACACAGTATCTCTAGAACACAAACGTATTCATCTAAATTAAGAGGAGGCCAAATGATTGATGGGAAAGTGGAAAATGTTCTTTGAATAATGAAAAAAAGAAGACAAGAACCATGAAGACCTTCAAATGTACAATATGTTTTTAATAAGCCTTTTGTATCTGATAGGCCTAGAAAACAATGGCAGCTGACTGCAGCATCAATAAATCATGAACCTTTAATTTTCTCCATTTTTTGCTTCCTAAAGGAGACACAACTTAGAGATAGCAAATGAAGTGAGGTGTGGGGGAGGTGGAGTGACTATAACTACTCTGGAAGAGTTCATTCCATTAGACTGGATATTCTTATTACTTATAAGAGAATATTTATTATATTAACAGGATCAGTAAATCTAGAGAAATTCCTTTTTATCCAACTAGAAGGACCTAAAAGTCCCTCAAATTCACTTCTGTTGAGTCAATTCTGATTCATAGCATCCCTGCTTAGGTCCCCAAGCCTATAGATTGCAATGGAGGAAACTGTCCATTTTACCCCATCACTGGTGTGTTCAAATCACTGAAGATGTGTAGCCTCTGAGTTAGGAGTACAATTCACTATAGACTGCACCACCAGAGCTCCCTAATAAAAGAACTAGTCCAACTCAAGTCATTCAAGTGATGCCAAAAAAGGGGAGGAAAGCAAAACCCAAACCAAAAATGTTGTTTCTTATTATTTGTTAACTGGATCAAGATAACGTATGAGCCTCGGATCTTTCTGAAAGTAATGAGCTCCCTTCTTACAATATATGCCCATAGGTTACTGCTTAGTTCTTGCATAGAGTAGAGAACCAGTTAGAAGGGTTGCTGAGTTATTTTTCAGAAAAAAAAAAAAGAGGTTTTCTTCTCAGTAGTTATTAAGGATGGACCTTGGGAGACTAAAATCTCCCTGAAGAATTTTTAGACACCATGTCCATGTTACTTTTCTCTATCCCCTGTGCTTAGAGTGAGATATAAAAGTGGTCAGGCATAAAGTCTCTTGAGCAGATACAAAGAAGGACATGTTCTGTGGGCGTCTGTGATCTGTCTGTGGTCAGGTAAGTTCTAAAACCTTATTATAGCAGTCAACCGGTTATCCTTCAGTTTTCTACAGTAAAAGTGTAAGGAAGGCAAAGGGTAGGGTAGATGAAATGGAGACTAGTTAAAGTGAATGTAACGATAACATCTTAAAAAACCAACAAAACAACACAACCAACAACCACTAAACTAAAACAAAAAGTCCATTGCTGATGAGGCAGCAACCACCACGGCTGACCCTCCAGGGAATTTTCTGGAGGCTCTACATCTCATGGAAGGACACCTGTCTAGTGAGGAAGAGCTGATGGATTTGGATTTGAATTTGGATCATCTGTCGGGTTAGCAGTACAACTCCTTACCCACCCGGACACCTAAAAGTTCAGTATGCTTCACCAACACCAAAATCCAAAGGCACCAATCTTTGTTCAGTATTTCTTATTCTTTACCCAATTTTCACATGTATTATGTGGTGATTAAAAAATACAGTGCTTTGAATCAAGTGCACTTTAACTCTCAAAGTGATATGCAGAAGATTTGTCAATTACAATGCCTCATCTAGTTTATCGGCTGCTGCTTCATGCACATTAATTACAGATCGCCTTGCCCTAGTATACCATAAATCCAGAATTTAAAGATTGTTGTTGCTGTTGTTGTCATTTTGTGCCATCACATGGGCGCAGATCCATAGCTGAGCCCTCAGTGAATTTTCAGACTCAGTAAATCACATGGAAGGAGACTGCCCATCTTTCTTCTGCAGAGCAGCTGATAGACTTTACCTATGTCCCTTTGGATTGACAATCTTTATCACTAAGCACCTGAGGTCTCTAAAGAGTCTCAAAGACTTTTCTAAAAATTAACCTTTCATCACTTAGGCCATGAGGCACGTTAATCACTGGGCTTTAGTTACCCAATCTGTTAAGGAATAAAAAAAATTGTTGTCAGGTACCGTCAAGTTGACTGTGACTTAAAGCAACAATGTATACAATAGATCAAAGCCTTCTTTATCCTGAGCCATCCTTATAATCTCCACTGTATTTAAAAGCCCATTGTTACAGTTATTGTGTCAATCCATCTCCTCCATGGTCTTCTTTTTTACTGACTTCGTATTTTTCTAAGAAGCATATTCTTTTCCATGGACTGACTTTTCCTGACAACATGCATAAAATATGTGAATTGAAGTTTTATCCTCCTTGCCTCTCAGGAGGACTCTGTTTACACTTCTTCCAAGACAGATTTTCTTGGGGTTTATTGCATTTCATGATATACTCAATATTCTCCACCAACATCACAATTTAGATGAACAATTGGATGTAAAATTTCTTGCAGAGTGTCTGCTATTGTTGCTGTGTGCCTTCATTTCTGGACCAACCCGTAGCTGACCCTCCAGAGGCAATTGACAGCATGGGAGCAGATTGATCATCTTTCTCTCACCTAAGTGTTAGCTTTTGTCTTTTTGTATATGTTTCTTCACATGGGCCAAAATTACACACTATGTCAATTGTCTAAATATGTGAAGAAATGTGATCCTAAGATTTTCCAATCTTTATCAACCTCTTTTCACAAATACTAAACCTAAAGTCTTGTGATTCTAAACAACTTTGACACTTCATGGTACAAGATCTTGTTTTCATTAACATCTGTTTTCCTCTCCTTTCTCTTGATATTCTATTTTCTTTAGCTAAGTTTTGTTTGTAAGCTTTTGATCACCTCCTAAGAGACTGTATAAAGAATAACAATTATAGTCAGGTGGAAGAGACCAAAGATTAGTCATATTTGTCAGTTTTGAATCCTAATAAGTCTCAGGCAGGTGCACACAGACTAAAACCCTTAAGAACAGATCATGTATAATCATTGTTCATATAGAGAGAGAACCATGGAACTGTTGGGAGGCATAGGAAGTTCTGAGTTCTGTACTGTCCAGGGGAAATTAGGACTCATTCCTAACGTGATAGTTCTGTATTACTCACTATTCCACCATCATCTCTGTGGCTTTCAGATACAAAGATATCTTATGTATCTTCCTTCTCCAGACTCAGAAGAAAGTACTCTGGAAGGGATAATAGTGTTTATTGCATTGCCTCTTCCAAAGGAAAGCTTCTTAAAGATAATTTGAACAATGTCTTCCATTGTAAAAATATAAATCCTTCTAAGTTTCACAATTTTTATCCACCATGACACGACAAACATGAAAAAAACTCAAAGCCATCCAAATGACAGTAGAAAAGACAATATAATCATTCTCACAGAAAATTGGTTGTAGGTTAACTTGTAAGAATGGATTAAATTATATATAAGTGACACTGTAACAAACACTGAAGTATAATGCAAGAGGATGAAGAAAGTATTGAGAGTTAGACAACAGACTTAAATGTGTATGAGTGCATGTATAATAAACTACGAGCATATATGTGGAGTTTATGAGTGTGCAAATCAGTGTGTATACTTCACTTTGTTGTCATTGTTAGGTGCTGTCAAGTCAACTCTGACTCACAGCAACACTATAAACAACAGATTAAACCTTGCCCTATCTTGAACAATTCTCACAATCTCTATCATGTTCAATACCATTATTGCAATAACTATACTAATTGCTCAATCTATTTTTTAACAGGCTTCCTGTCTTTTACTGTCCCTCTAGTTTTTCACATGTGAATGATGTATATATGCCATTGTTGATTAAGGATATGAATAGGATAGGATATGAACATGTAATTTCAAGAGGATGTATGTGATGTATGTATAAACATTGAAAAAAACTATGAGAAAGAGACTGGTTGAGCATTTTATAATGTGTCAGTGTCAGTGATGAAGAGGTATAGATTGAATGTGAAAAAATGGATATGTCAATATGTGAGGACAAGACAGGATCGCACAAGGTTCAGATCTTTTGTTTGTAGGATCACTATGAATCATACTTGAATCTACGGCATCTAATAACAACATGTGTATAACTGTATAAGGGTGTCAAAGTTTACATTTAGAGTAATGCCTTCCCATTAGCTTAATGTTAGTACATAGATCCTATGTTTGTGAAATAGCTCACATTTTTTTCCAGAAAATATAATGAGCTTCATGTGTTTCTATAAACAAATGGTGCACTTGTATTTTTGCAGCTATTTTTGAAATGAAATATTGATGCCCAGGTATATCAAATGCCTCCACATTCCACACCTACTACCTCTCCCATCCTAACTTGATACACATTATAACTCAAACTAGCTTTGGGAATAGTCTCATTGATCAGTGCTTTTCTATTTAGCAGTATTTCAAAGAAATATTTCACTTTCTATCAAGTACTATTCATAATTCAAACTTTTTTTAAATTTTACTTTATTTATTTTTATGAACATTTACAGAGATTGCTTTTTAATGAAAAGTTGTTAATTGTAATGAATATACATTTATATTAAAGCATATTTCTAAATACATTTTTAAATGTACCTCATTTCATATATAGTTGATATTTTAAAATATTTGACAGTGTCTTCCTTCTTCCATAAAACAGAGACAGTCCAGTCTGTGGCCTAGTATCCATAAACTATGAAGAAAAGTAGTTTATCTGCATATTCCTAAAACCAGTGAGGTCATCAATGGGTTAGTTTTCAGCTGTGTGGATGTTTTCTGTTGTGCTTTTTATTATCAGGCAAATTCTCCTCTAGTAAGTACAAGACTCGGAATTCTCCAAGTTTCAAAATCTCCAAGCAAAACCCCAGAAGTTTATCAGCGACATCAGGAATTCTAATACTGACAAGTGACTTGCTTTCTCCTACTATGGGATTGTTCAATGTCACTCGCCCTGCTTCCTTCCTCCTGACTGGCATCCCTGGGCTGGAGAGTTCTCATTCCTGGCTGGCAGGGCCCCTCTGTGTGATGTATGTTGTGGCTCTTGGGGGCAACACAATAATTCTACAAGCTGTTCGAGTAGAGTCTGTTCTCCACGAGCCCATGTACTATTTCCTATCCATGCTATCATTCAGTGATGTGGCCATGTCTTTGGCCACACTACCCACAGTCCTCAGAACCTTCTGCTTTGATGCTCGCAGTATTGCTTTTGATGCTTGCCTAGTCCAGATGTTTCTGATCCACTCCTTTTCCATGATGGAATCAGGTATTCTTCTGGCCATGAGCTTTGACCGCTATGTGGCCATTTGTAATCCCTTGCGCTATGCCACTGTGCTCACCAATGAAATCATTGCTGGGATGGGTTTTGCTGTGACTGCCCGGAGTTTTGTCACCCTCTTCCCCCTTCCCTTCCTCATCAAGCGGTTGCCTATCTGCAGGTCCAATGTTCTTTCCCACTCTTATTGCCTGCATCCAGACATGATGAAGCTGGCCTGTGCTGACATCACCATCAACAGCATCTATGGGCTCTTTGTCCTTGTGTCGACTTTTGGTATGGATTTACTTTTTATCTTCCTCTCCTATGTGCTCATTCTGCGCTCTGTTATGGCCATTGCTTCCCGGGAAGAACGTTTAAAGGCTTTGAATACATGTGTGTCACATATTTTGGCTGTACTTGCATTTTATGTGCCAATGATTGGTGTTTCCACGGTCCACCGTTTTGGGAAGCATGCCCCACGCTACGTACATGTCCTTATGTCCAACATCTACCTCTTTGTGCCTCCGGTGCTCAACCCTCTTATTTACAGCATGAAAACAAAGGAGATTCGCCGTGCCATTGCACGCATGTTTTACCGCGTCAAGATGTGACTTTTCCTATTTGGTTTTAGAGTCTGCTTTTCATTGTGACCATAGTCTACTGTCAGTGACATCATCATAGTCTATAAGATAGATGTATGTCCTGGGAGGAGAAAAAATTAAAGGACAGGAAATGATGTTGCAAACTGAGAAAATTAGAAATTTCAAATGAATAGTATAGCCAGTAAACACCACTTGTACCCATAACAGATAAATATCAGGAGTGTAGTGCAGTGGATCTATAGTTCGATGTAGTTTTCATAAGCCATTATTGCTTTGATTTTGCCACATGGTTGGCCAGAAACACGCAAACGGCCTAGTCCAGATGTTTCTGATCCATGATCCAAGATGTTAGTCTTTCCATGAGGGGATTGGCCAGCTTGGCCGTTCCACCATATTTAAATTGAGCATTTTCAGTGGCAGAAATTGAGAGTCTCACCACCAGCAATGATGCAGATAATTCAATGTGAATACCTTCAGGGCCAGAGATTCCTGTGCTGGTCAGACCAGGAACAAAAGCTATGGTGAAGAATCAAAGATCAACATGACAGAAAGCTGAACAGGGGACTGTTACTTCACTGAACAGAATCAGGGGCCTCCAGCAAAACTTGCTGGACAACTGGAGTGAGGTGATATAATAATTAATACAAGTAAAAGAATTTTCTAACACTCGTATAAAGCCACAGAATTATCCTGGTAGTGCAGTGGAAAATGTCTTGGCCTCTAGGTAACTCTGATGGTCTAATCACAAGGAGCTATGCTGCAATCCCAAAGGCAGGTGGTTCAAATCCACTAGCTGCTCCATGGAAGAAAAGTGGACAATCTCCTTTTGTGTGATTAGACTGTCTCTGAAAACCACTGGAGGATCAGGTATGAGTCTGTTCCAACTCAATGGTACACAACAATCAAAAAGTTGATGGCTTGAACTTATCTGTTATGAGCAGTTTGTCCGCATATATCACAGTCTTGGAAACCCAATGGTATGGTATGGTATGGTATGGTATGGTATGGTATGGTATGGTATGGTATGGTATGGAAAATCCACATGATGAGAATACATTAGAAGCCTTTGTTTCTTCTCTACTTACCTTCACCTTTCCTTATTACTTTTTTTTTTTTAAAGCCCCAGTGGTTAAGGAGCACAGCTGCTAATTGAAAAATCCAAAGTTTTTATTTTATGGGGGGAAAAGACGTGGCAGTCTACTTGTCTAAAGATTATAACCACTGAAGTCCTGTGGTAGTTAGTTCTATTCTGTCCCATTGGGTAAACTGTAAGTTTAAACTGACTTGTTAAAAGTAGATTTGGTATTGACCTTTCCCGACTAGAAGAATTGTTGCTTTGCAGAAACTACATGAAAAGGCATATTTAGGTTTGTTCTCTCTTAGGGTCTCTGGAGACATAATCTGTAGTATATTATTCTAACAATCAAAAGGCCTTAGATAGTTGGAGTGGGAGTGTGTGCTTCTAAATTGTTTGTTTCACAGAAACACAGACAGCTTATAAAGACAACAGTTACTCTGTGGATTATCATCTTATTTTCATCAAACAACCAATAACTCCTGCCAAGCAAGTTGTGACTTGATATGAATGTCAGAACCAAGATTTGTTTTCATAGACTTGTATGTATGTATGTAGATGGTGTTCAAATTTAGAATGTAAAATATTTTTTCTTCTTTTTCTAAATGGAATATGTTTATCAACTTGTTTCCTTTTTTAAAAAAATTATACTAGTTTATTTACAAAATTTGAATACATTGTTTTTCAGACTAGATTCTTCTAATTTGTCTCATTCCCTCCCCATCAAATTGTATAACTCCATGATTAACCCCCCACCCCCACACACACATATCCTCATCCCTCTGCTTCCACCTCCTGCCCCCTTGGAGCCTCATACTCATTCTATGAGAAAAGAAATTATCCATTGAATGATCTTTTGAATAACTGAATAACACAAATAACTAAAATTTCAACTGACAATATAACTGACAATACAACTGACAATAACTTTGATATTTGATTGAAATTTATAGAAGTCTGCAACCCTCTTCAAAGTTCAATCTCAAGCCAAAATTAGAAGTTTCTAGATGCCTGTGTGAGTCACTTAAAGTGCTGATACATGGCAGACTTTATTAAAAATTGAGGCAGCAACAGATTTTAACTCATGTTGTTATTGTTTTGGTAGGTGCTGTAGACTTGAGTGCAGCTCATAGTGACCCTGTGAACAACAGATTTTAACCCTACGCTGTCCTGGGCCATCCTCATTACCTCTGACATACATGGGCCCATTGCCACAGGCACCATGCCAGTCCATCTCCTCAAGGTCTTCCTCTCTTTTGCTATCCCTCCACCTTTCCAAGCATGATGTCTCTTTTTTAGAAATTAAAGTCACAAAGCTATATATCAGAAAATCTGCATTGTACCTAATTTACTATCAGCTTTGTAATTTCAAAAAATCCTCAGGTAACACACTCTTCAACCATCATTTATGCTACAGAGGAATTTAGTTTTTGGTTCCTGCTTAACACCAAGTATAAAACATTATGGAAGGAAGAAGAAGGTGAATAGAATTCTAAAGCAAACTATTTTCCCTTTAGCTTGCTCTTTTACACACACACACACGCACACACACACACACACACACACACACACATACATATCACTTAACAGTATTAAAACCTAGAATTGGAACTGACTCATAGCTGACACTCCAGCAACTTTAAACAGGCTGTCAAACAAAGGGAGAGATTGCCCCATTTTGCGCTAGCAGAGCCACTAATGGATTCAAGCTGCTGAGAGGCACCACCTTTGGGTTGCAGCACCACTCCCTACTCACTAGGCTGCCAGAGCTCCCTTGGGAGAGAGTTTTTAAACAATATTCCAGGCCTAGCATTCACATTAGGAGCTCAGTGTTTATGGGTTTTAGTTACTGGGCTTGTGAGAGAAATTTACTTAAAGGGAGATAGGAGGGACATGTCAAGATCTCCTGGGACGGTGTTTAAAGGAAACTATATATTTCCTTTAAATGTTTTCTTATAGTGTAAAACTATGTGCAATCTTGAAAAAAATTACAATATAATGGAAGATCTGTCCATCTCAACTGAGTGAGGGAAGAATAAAGGCTGATAAGCACAAGGTTGTGTATTTAACACACTTATCCCTTAATTACAACATGAAAGAGATAAACTTCCCAAGTGGCAAACCGTACTTCAACAATGAAAAGCATCTCATATAAGCCACTAGTCAATGTTTATTATTATTTCTAAAATCCAGGCCCAAACTCTCCCACTGAGAGGAATTCTTCTGTAAAGTTTTAAGAGTAAAATTTGATAGATTTCTTAACGGCCTTTTCTACATCCTATATAACACTGTGAAAAGGAAACCTATTGCGGAATGTTAACATTAAATCCTAGCATTGGTAATTTAATAGGAACATCTCTGACTAGCTATACAAGTGGCAGGTAAATAAATCTGAACTCAAACAAATTTCTGGTAAACATATGAAATATTTACATAACAGGATTATAGACACTTAACTGAAAATATTTCATGTATCAACTCTACAGCAAGGTTTGGAGACTGGCTGTTATGTTTAAATCTTTTGTTTGGTTGTTGTTAAATACATTTTTAAACAAATGATGTAGAATAACATGTTTGTGATTATGAGGGAAAACAATAAGAATGATAAAATACAGCTCAAGTTTATATTGGGCAATTGGGTCCCTTTTTTCACAGGTCTACATTTGTTTTTAATATGTTTTTAAAGAACTTTTCAAAATATCAGCTATATGAACAACAACAACAAAAATTGATTCCCATTTAGTCAATTGTGGTTCATTGAGACACTCCATCAGTATTCTGACTCTGTAAAATCAATCTTTACAGAAGGAGAATTCTGAGAAGTAGCAAGTGGATTTGAAGTATTGGCCTCATGTTTTAATCTGACATGGTTATGTGCTAATATAAAATTTATGAAAGATATTGGTCTGTACAGGGTTTTTTTTATAATATCTATGCCTGGTTTTGGTAGTAGTGTTATGCTTGCTTCATAGAATGACTCTGGGAGTATTCCTTCTTTTTTCTATTTTTAAAAATGATTTATGTAGAATTGCTGATAGGTCATCTCTGAATGTTTAGCACAGCTCAACTGTGAAGCCTATTGGGGCCAAAATATTTATTTTGGGAGGAGTCTTTTTTATGACCTGTTCAATGCAGCACTCAGGAACAATGATTTTGAAAAATACTATATAATGTGGGAAAAGATAGAGAGCATTATGTTGGCATAACTAACTCAATCCTATAAGAACAAATACTGCATAAGACCATTATTATCAAAGTAGAAGAATAGCAAGATGTATATAAATGTCCGAAGAGGAAGGGGATGGGGCAGGGAGGCGGAAGGGAGGGACGGAAGGAGGAAAATCATGGGTTCACAGAGCTGGGTGGATGGAGGGAGGGGGGTAAGGACTTAGGAAAAATCCAGTGAGAATCTGAAAAGATGGGGTACTGGTGGGAATATATCAAATGGTGCTTAATTTTATAAGACACAATGTAAAGGAGTGATTATATGAAACAATATGAATAAAGGAATGTGTGAAATAGGAAAGATGCAGTGAGGATCTGAAAAGATGGGGTAATAGTGGGCATATATTAGTGGTGATTAATTTTATAAGACACAGTGTATTGTAAATGATATATGAAACACGATGTGAATGAAGAAATGTGTGAAACACAATGTATATAAATTTTTGTGCTAATCAATATAAATAAAAACTTTAAAACAACTCTATAATATGCAATACTACTTTGATAATTTCACCAATTTGAACTAATGAAATTTTTCCTAAAATAGTGGTTTGTGTTTTTAAACAAAGCTGTTAATTAGGAAACTGATCTTTTCCACCAAAAATCAAATTAAACAGAATATTTATTTGACAATAGTATACATATACACTCAAAAACCAAGACATGTGAATTTTCATTTTCTTCATTCTCAATGTATATGTATAAATTT